TCCTCCTCCTCCTCCTCCTCCTCCTCCTCCTCCTCCTCCTCCCCTTGTAAGTAGTAGGGTGCCTCACAGTGCCTGGACCCACTCTTGAATGGAACTGTGGCTCTCTAAGAACATGTAGCAAACCCTTATTGTCCCCTAGGGAACTTAGGATTGATTCTTGGCCATCTGCTGGAGGTGGAGGCAGGAAAGGCTGCAGCCTCAACCCCTGCACACAGACCATAGCTGGTCCTGTGCTTCCTGGGGTCCCAGCAGGGGTCAGATACCAGGGTGGGAAGGGCGCACCTAATGTGTTCATTTGCGCCCCAGCTCTGGTTAATTCAGCCTGGGTAACTTGGGAGGGGACTTCACAAGTGGGCCTCCCACCTCCAGATGAGAAACGCTCTGCTTTCATGGGGTCTGGCTTGCCTTGTTGGGTGAGATGGGGCATGGCCCTCCTGGCTCTGGGGTGAACGGAAATTCACACACACACACACACACACACACACACACACAGTATTATCACCAAAAAGTGTAAATTTAAAGGTTTCAGTTTTATGGACCTAGTGGCCAGATTTTACCCTAAGTGGACCGCGTCCATCGTGCTGGCGGCTCACAGGGAAGGGCTGAAGGAGAAGCTGCCGAGACAGAACCTGAGCTGTGTCCATGCTGAAGTGGCCGCTCGCCTCCTTCATCCTGAGTGCCGGGAACTTTAGATAATGACGGCATTTTGTGCTTCTGGATTCCATCTGGGGGAACGTTCTGGAACCACAGACGTTGGCGGCATGGCGGGGGGCGGGGGACGGATTTGGCACGAGGTAGCACCTGTGCTTTGCTGTGAGCAGCTCCCTTTGCCCTTGGCGTTGGAGGCGGGCAGTGGGCGCCTTCTCACCTGCGGTCTCTCACCCAGGAGTTCTTCGACCACGTGAAGAAGCTCTGGGACGACGAGGGCGTCAAGGCTTGCTTCGAGAGGTCCAATGAGTACCAGCTCATCGACTGCGCACAGTAGTAAGTGCCGGGGCCGCGGCGGGAGCTGGGGCGGGCCGTCCAGGGGCCGAGAGCAGCCTCATCGAGGGGTGTGTCTGGCAGACAGAGCAGAAGGCCCAGCAGGAGCAGAACGCTGTGCTGGCTCGGCCTCATGGTGTGGTCAAGTCTGTCACTTCTTCCCTTCTGTACGGGGTCGCAGGCATGTTTGTAAAGTGTAATGGACGTAAGTGCTCATTATGTTTTCATTTTGGAGCTGGGGGGGTCTCCAAATTAAATTTTAAAATAATACCAACACACATGATCAAGGCCAGACCCTTAAAGTGACGCGGTCATCTCGTTAGTGATCCAGCTGGTAACTGACAGAATGAGCACATGTGAGGGGAAACGGTGATGAGAGGATGCCTGATGCCAGGTGGACTCCTTCCTTTTCCCTAAATGTTTATGTTCTATTTCTTGTGCTGTTTTTAGATACATTCTGTTACTGTTAGACAGTGAGGCTCCCCAGGAGAGTGTCCAATAACCGAGAAGTTCTAGAAGTGTCTGCTGCTCTGATAACAAACAGGGGACATGACACTTGTTTCATGTGGCCCTTTGGACAGCAGAGAGCTCAGAGCCTCTCAGCCTAAGCCCTGGGACTGGCCCTCAGGAACCTGCACCGTGAGTGCTGATCCCAAGGAGCAAGCAGGCCTGTGGCCACCGCGCCCTCCTCCCTGCAGAGGTGCAGGCACCATTGGGGCGGTCGTGGGGCACCCAGCAAGGTCCCGCCTACAAGTGCTGAGAAGGGTCATGGCAGGAGTGGGCGCTGGAGGCAGCGGCATGGATGGGAAAGGAAGAGTGGCTACCTGAAGCGAGAGGTGGGCCAGGGCCAGGACCTCAGGGCTGAGGCCATGTCGAGGAACTTGGGCTTTCTTCCAGTGCAGTGAGTGGCTTTGACTGGATGAGGGAGAATAAAATGGAGGAGGCAGAGCCCATGGAGTGGCTCGGGTCAGGGCAACCGTGGAATTGCACACTGGGAGCTGAGAGGCAGAAATGAGGAAAGGGTTTTGGGCAGCACAGTGCCATTTTCTGAGATGGGGAAGCCTGGGAGATTTAGTCTGTGGGATGGTGGGGGGATAGGGATCTCTGATTTGGGCATTTTAAGTTTGAGATGCCAAAGGGATGGAGAGTAGAGACCTCAAGCAGGCCATTGTTATAGGAGCCTGAAGCTCAGAGAGAATCATCCATTCTGTTGCTGTAACAGAATACCTGACACTGGGTAACTTATAAAGGAAAGAGGTTTGTTTTGGTTTATGGTTCTGGAGGCCAGAAATCACCAGATGAAGCAATGGCATCTGGTCTGTGCCATCAAGGACCTCGTCACAGAAAGAAAAGCAAGTAGAAGTGAGAAGGGCTGAACTCCCTGAAAGCTGACTCCTTCCCCATAGAACACTAATTCATCCACTGATGGGGCTCTGCCTGCAGCCGCCCACTGGGTCTCATCTCCTGTGCTGCTGCGGGAGGTTTGCTGCGGAGCTCGAGGGCAGCTCGAGATGTCGTGGGGGTCAGCAGAGGCTTGGCTCGGGTGGTACTTCCCTCCAATCATTTAGAAGCCACGGCAGAACTGGGTGCTAAGACCCAGGGGGCCAGACAGGGGCATTGCTAGCTCAGCCCGTCACCATGGGGACACTCACCCTGTGCACTGCCGCCGAGGTGCTTTGTTCGCCTGTGCCCTTGGGCCCTGAGCACAGACTGGCCGGGGGAACCAGAGTGTCACTCAGTCCCACACTGGAATCTCTTTTTTAAACACACACAGGAAAAAGAAAAAATAAATAAATAAATAAACACACACCGGAAAATAAACAGACTACTTATTCGTGCATCACCACGGTGGTACAATCAATGATTCAACTTTAAATAGGAAATGAAAATATAAGGTTGAGTGTGACAACCGGGTTCAGCCCAGGCTCCCGGAGGTGCCACGCGGGGCTTGGGGCAGGTTATTTCAGTGGGAGAGACAATGGCGTCTGTCGCAGTCTGGCTGGGCACAAATCACAAGCCACTCAAGCGGGAACAAACTTTATTTCCGAACTCCCCCGAACGCGGCCCTTCCAGGGACACCACACACCAACCGGAACTCCCTCCACTGGAACTTCCCCAACCAACGCGAACTCCCCAGGAATCCCCGTGAGAACTCCAAAGTAGCAGGCGCCTGAGGCGGACAGCAGGGGTCTATATACAATTGAATACACAGCCTGTTTCAATCCAGCATCATCCAGTCACAGCAATTATAGACAGCTTAACTTAATTACCATCATCTTAATGGCTCCCCCTCAACCATTACTTCTGGCAAAATGCCAGGGGCCATTCCGACTGTGGCTCTCAGCAGGCGTCTGTGCCCAGTTGGCCCTGGTAGGATTCAGTCAGTAGCTATCAAAGCCCTCAAGAGTGCCCAGCGCAGAGGAAGCCCCAGAGAAGCTCTGCCTCTCGCTCATGTGTCACCAGCACAGAAACCGAGGCCCAGGGACGTGCACTGAGGGCCGTGGGGTCACGGCTGCCCCATCACAGATGCCACCTCACTTTCTCAGTTCTGGCCTTTCACACCGCAGGAAGCCACGGATAGAGGAGGCCTTGCAAGTGAGGCTCCCAGCCTCAGGCCGACCTTCCAGGCTTGTCAGGAATAAAACACGGTCAGCCCGAGCCTCTGTCCTGGCCTCTGTGCTGGCCTCCGTCCTGGCCTCTGTCCCCGGCCAGGCAGAACCACGGGAACCAGCCCCACACCAAGACCTGGGGATCCTGGATTACTCCTCACTTCTCCGCCTTCCCTCGTCTTATCCATGTTAATGCACGAGGGAATCACGATGGTCCAGAACCTTTCTCTCCTGATAATTGCCTGATTCTCCTCTGTGCTCGGTTCTGGGGTTGAGGGAGGAAGGAGCTCAGAAGCCAGTGGCATTCCAGTCACTCCGCCAGACCAATGTGTAGCTGTCAAATCCTTCAAGTTGCCAGACGAAATGTTCAAATAGAACCTGCGTCTGTCTCCCACCTCCTCCACTGGGTCAGAGGAGGGAGGTGTCAGTCAGATCAGCAGAGGGACAGAGCTCCACACAGCCTGGGGCCACGATCCCCACTCCCCACGCCTGCTGTCCAGCCCATCAGGCTCTGATCCCCAGGAACAAGTCTCCTTCAGGTCTTCTCAGAAGCCCCGCTCCGGGCTGGGTCTTCTGCAGAAGCCAGTGCTCAGTACACGCACCTTGAAATGCAGTCGTGGGTCACCTAGCAACAGTGCTGAGAACCGCCTGATGGCAATCTCACCACTGTGCAAATGTCCTGGGGTGCACTCACGCAACCCGACTGCCTGGCCTTCTACACCCTGGGCTGTGTTTGAGGTGGGCAGAACAGCTCCAGGCGCACGGTGCTCAACACAGCTGAGGTTAAATCAAGCACGAGAGAAAACCATGCGACTGGGAGGCTTGATGGGCTCAGGGTGCTCGGAGCTGGCCGTCCGCACTTGGCCAACCGTGTTACCGAGATGTCCTTCTCTGTGAGTAGGACTGCGCTCCAAAGCAATGACAGCAGAGCACGGTGTGGTGGACACGCGAGCCCCAAGGGGTGCCTGGCAGGTCGTCCCACTGCCATCGCCACAAGCACGCGAGGCCCACACTGTGCTGGGACACCAGGCAGCTGCCAGGTCACTGACATGGAGACCGTTTTTCCGTTGTCACCTTGGGGCCACTCCTGCCTGTGTCTGGCATTGATGGAAACATTGTCCATGTGGCTGCAGCTGGACTGGCAGAGTCCCGGGTTGTGCACTGCTGGTGGGCAGTGCTGACCGCAGCCTTCAGAAGTGCGCGGGCCTCTGCACTTGCTCGTCCTCCCCACACAGCCTCCACGCACCTTCTTCCCCTCATCTAAGTGGCTCTGGGGCAGACCCGATCTGCACCTTGGGGTGGCTGAGTGGCTGTGTGTCCCTTGCGGGCTGGCGCTGTGTCCCCCACAGGCCTGCACTGCACTCCAAACCTGCAGACACACCAGAAAGGGGCCAGTACCGAGGCCGGTAAGGTCATGCCTCCTGTGGCGCAGCTCCTGGGGACACTTGAGGAACAGCAGATGCTGGTTGATGTCAGGATCCTGTTCGGGCTAGGGAGGCGAAGCCATCGGCAAGGCACCCAGGAGAATCTGGCAGTTCGCCTATGCGTCTAGCAGTGCTCCCTTAGGTGGACACCAAAGAGAACTAAAAACAGACACTGACACAGAAACTCGAAGGCACATGTTCTTGGCTCATCCATCACAGCCAGAAGTGGAGACAACCCACGTGCCCATCAACTGACTGGTGGACAAACCACATATGAAATTCCACACCGTGGAATATTATTCATCAACAAAAAAGGAATGAAGTGCTGATAAACCTTCTGCAGAATGGATGAGCCTTGAAAACACTGTGCTGAGTGCAGAAGGCGACACCAGGGCCACTTGTAGATGACTCTGGGTGTGAAGTGTCCACAGAGGCACCTCCTCGGAGGCAGAGGGAGAGTTGTGGTGCAGGGACTGGGAGGGGAAGCTGAGTGCCTGTGGTCTCTGGGACAGCAGGCGTGTTCTCGAACTAGGACCTTGCGAATATCCTAAAACCAGACTTATAGGCTTCAAAGCAATGGGTGTGGGGTTATGGGGTGCATTGTGTCCTATCTTATGTGAATTATATCTCAGTTTTAACAAAAAAGATGGCAGGAGGAGGGGGAGCCCCGGCAGCCCAGGCAGGGGTGTGTTGGGAACACAGTGGTCATGTTGGGCCTGGCGTGTCTTGGTGAGGACTCAGCGAAGCTAGCCTCGCACTCTGGCCTCCTGCTCCCCAGGTGCTCTTCCACATGGCAGGGAGGGTGTGCCTGCCTCTGAGGCCTGTTCTTCAGACAGGCCAACCAGCAGCGCCCAGCACCAGGCCCCAGGCCTGTGGGTGGCAACCACCCAGGGACTCCAAGCCACATAAAGCACAGATGTCAAAGGCTGTTGAGGTCTTCGCTAGCTGCTGCGTGTGCGAGATGGCTGCG